CTCTTGTCCCCACGTGTCCCCCTGTCCCCAACTACCCCCTGTCCCCATGTTCCCACGTGGGACACCCCATGTCCCCCCACCGGACCCCCTCTGTCCCCCTTTTCCTCCACCTGTCCCCACCTGCCCTTGTCCCTCTCCCCTCTCTGTCACACCCCCCTGTCCCTTGGGACCCCCCCAAACCCCCCGGGGATGCCAGGGCAGGGCTGGGGGTGCCAGGGATGGGATGGGGGTGCCAAGGATGGGATGGGGGTGCCCCCCCAGCCCCAGCCGTGTCCCCTATTGTTGCCCCCCCCCATTGGGGTCAGGCTCTTTGGGGTCTGAGCCCCTTTTTGTGTGGATTTCCCATTAAAACCCTGCGGGGGGGCAGGAGAGGATGGGGGGGTGCAGGGAGGGAGCATTTCCTGGGGGAGGGGCAGGGTCGGGGATGTCGGGGTTCCCCCTCCCCACAAAACACCTGGGCTGGATTTCTGCACCTTTATTCAGCCTCACCCCCAAACCCGGGGGAGGCTCCGTGTGTCCCCCCCCCAGGGGCTGAGCCACATCCCTCAGCCTGGGGGGGCAGAGCCCTCCTGGGGGGGCTCCTGGGGGGGCTCCTCCCCGCACTGGAAGCGCAGGAAATCCCAGACCTGGAGCCCCCCCCTCTCCCGCAGGTAGCGGCCCAGGGGCACGCCCGGCTCCAGCAGCGTCCCCTGCGCCAGCAGCCGCGTCTCCGTGTCCCCCCCCAGCTCATCCTCGGGGGTCCCCAAGGCGGTGGGGGCCATCCCCACCACGTGCTGAGCCACTCTGCGCCCCAACTCCCGCAGCTCGGCCGGGGGGGGCCCCGGGCCCGGCCCCCCGCAGGCCACCAGCGCCCCGTAGGTGCCCATGGCCACGGCGGGCCCGGGGGGCACCCAGCCGTGAGCGTAGGTGGCCACGAAGCCACCGGGGGCACGGAGCCACCCGGCCCGGCGCAGGGACAGCCGCTCGCCCAGACGGCCTGGGGGGGGACAGAGAGGGGGGGGTCATCGTCAGCACCCCAAAAAATGAGGGGAGGGGTTATGGAGCCCTGCCAGAGAGGAGGAGTCGCGAAAAGGGTTCTGGAGCAGCTGTGCCCAGCAGGGAGCCCCAGGAACAGCCCGGGGGTCTGCCCTGCCCTGAGCGGGGCTGGCACACCGCTGGGGGCACTGGGGGCACTGGGAGTACTGGGATTGTCACATTCTGAGGGCACTGGGAGCACTGGGACTGGCAGGCTCTGGGGGCTCTCAGGGCACTGGGGGCACTGGGGACTGGCACTGGGAGCACTGGGACTGTCCAGTTCAGGGGGCACTGGGAGGCACTGGGGGCATTGGGGATCAGTGGGGAGGGGCACTGGGGGCACTGGGACTGGCAAGCTCTGGGGGCACTGGAGGGGTCATTTGGCATCACTGGGGATGGGGCTCAGGAGACTTGAGACAAAAGGACAAGGAGGCAAACTGGGATTGCATAGAAAGGGCACTGGGCAGACTGGGATGGGCACAGGAAGGGCACTGGGCACACTGGGATGTACTGGGAGGGGCCCTGGGCACACTGGGCACACTGGGAGGGGCACAGGGGGCACTCACCCATGGCCAGTGCCAGGTGGTCGCTCAGCAGGTCCCCCCCGTCCCCTGCCCGCACCTGGGCCAGCTCATCCTCTCGCAGCAGGAGCTGGGGTAGAGGGGTCACAGAGGGGCACCCCAACAGCCTGGCACCCCCAAACCCTGCCCCAACACCCCCAGTACCCCCAAAACCTCCTCCAACACCCCCAAACACTCCTACACCCCTGGCACCCCCAAATGCTGCCCCGGGGAACGCAGAGCGGTGGCGGAGGCGCTCGGGGATAACCGGGGGTCCCTGGGCTGGGGGGGTTCCGGGGGTCTCAGGGCTGGGGTTCCCGGTGGTCCCGGGTTTCCAGGTGATCCCGGTGCTGGGGGTCCCGGGGCTGGGGGATCCCGGTGGTCCCGGGTTTCCGGGTGATCCCGGTGCTGGGGGTCCCGGGGCTGGGGGATCCCGGTGGTCCCGGGTTTCCGGGTGATCCCGGTGCTGGGGGTCCCGGGGCTGGGGGATCCCGGTGGTCCCGGGTTTCCGGGTGATCCCGGTGCTGGGGGTCCCGGGGCTGAGGGTCCCGGTGCTGGGGGTCGCGGGGCTGGGGGGTCACGGTGATCCCAGGGCTGGGGGTTCCCGGGGATCCCGGTGATCCCAGGGCTGGGGTACCCGGGGTTCCCGGTGGTCCCGGTGCTGGGGCGTCCCAGGGCTGGGGTTCCCGGGGGTCCCGGTGATCCCAGGGCTGGGGGTTCCCGGGGATCCCGGTCTCACCCGCGCCGCCCCCCCGAGCGCGCCCAGCGCCGCGCGCTGCATCCCGGCCTGGCCGCGGCGCGCCGCGTGACGTCACGTCACACCGGGCCGTGAACGACCCCGCGCTACGGGCGCCGGGAAGGGCCAGAACGCGGGGGTGTGATTGGCTGCCGCGCGTGTGTGACGTCACGCGGGCGGCACGGAGGCGCGGGATTGGCTGAGGGGAATTTTGGGAGAGGGGGAGCTCGAAGTGCCCGGGCCGAACCCGCCCCCGAGCACCCGAGAAACCCCCGGCCTTCAGTGGCACCCCAAAGCCTCACAGACCCCCGGCCCTCACAGATCCCCCAGCCTCAGAGACCTCCGACCCCCCCCGGCCCTCACAGACTCCCCCTCCAAGCCTCACAGACCCCCGACCCTCACAAGCCCCCCCTGACCCTCATAGACCCCCCAGCCCTCAGACCCTCCGTCACCGCGTAGATCTCGATGTCCCGCTCGGGCTCCCGCCGCAGCAGCCGCACCCCGAAGAACGGCGGCAGCATTTGCCGGAAGAACCGGGCGGCACCGGCCTCGCCGCCGCGCAGGCGGGCGCTCAGCAGCGCCTGGGCCGGCGGCACCACCAGGTGCCGGAGGGTGCCCAGCAGCGGGGCGAAGGCGCGGGGGTCGTACACGATGTCGGAGCCCAGGATGAGGTGGAATTTGGGGGGGAAGCGGCGCTGGTCGCGCCCCCAGCGCAGCGCCCGCACCCGCGGCCCCGCCGCGCCCGCCCCCGGGAAGTTGCGCCGCGCGTTCTCCCGCAGCTGCGGCAGCGCCGGGGGCCGGTCCGTGAGTGTCACCTCGGCCCCTGCGGGACAGCGCGGCTGTCACAGGGGTACAGCCCCCCGGTAAGCCCCCCAGGGCCAAATTAACCGTGGGTCGGTGTGGGGGTCACCCCCTGGGACCCCACCTCAAAATCACAGTAAACCCCCCGAGCCAGAGTGAGGAACATTCCCTGGACCCCCCACTCCAAAATCCCAGTAAATCCCCTCCACATCCCAAAAATCCCGGAATCAGAGTGAGGAACACGCCCTTGCACCATACCCCAAAATCCCAGTAAACCCCCCCACATCCCAAAAAACCCTGAGCCAGAATGAGGAACATGCCCTCACACACCCACCCGAAAACCCCATTAAACCCCCTCCCCCACATCCCAAAGACCCCCGAGGCAGAGTGAGGAACACCCCCACGGGACCTCCCCAAATCCTCCCCTCCCCAATAAACCCCGAACCCAAAGGGAGGGGTAACCACCCGTGCCCCCCCAGACCCCAATAAACCCCAGAGCTGCTCACAGCAGTTTCCAGTTCTGTACTGGGCAGGGGAACTGGAATCTCCCCCCCATCCACAGCTGTCCCCCCCAGCCCCACAGCTGTCCCC